GTAGCCCCTCCCCTGCTACCAAAACTCCACACCCAAACACAGCACAGTTGGGCTACGGAGTCCAGAGAACTGCAGTACCCCATTTTATAATCCAATACCCAGTTGCTTATATTATATTACATTACATTGCATTGTATTAATTATCTGCTGGACGCTTACGGTATCTCCTAGCCCCCAGCTTCAACAGTGTTTTGTGTTCAAGAACACGGGCCCAGATCTGGAAACCACAAGCAAGATGACAGTTTAATGAGGGAACTGTGACACAGAGTATCCTGCTATGTGCCAAGGGTAATGAGTTTCAGGTGGAATGAGACACATTATCCACTGGAACAAAGGGGCAAAGGAAACTACAATCCTGACCTTGATTCTGCTTTCATTTCCCTCACATTGCTTTAAAACCCTGCACAGCAACAAAATAAAACAATTGTATACACAGCCTTTTAAGCACAGATATGATTTTGCATCAAAAAAGGCAACACAACGGTAAACGTGAAATAAAGATCTAAATTGAATGACTTTACATGAGGACAGGTTTATTCTGGCCACCAGGAGAAAACGATTTTTTCATTACCCCTAAGACAAGATGGGGTTTATTGCAGTAGCAAATAACAGTTACAACGAGGTGAGAGAAGAAGTTATGGTTTTGTTATTTTTATTTCTGCTACTACAAAACCCCAGTATACGCTTTTCTCTTTAATTTCCTTGAATTAACTCTTCAGAAGGTTATTTACCCCTGGTTGCTGGGAGTCTCCAACGCTGGCTTCATTTGCACTGTCCTGTCTCCAGCTTGCCTTAAGCATGCAAGACTGGTGTTTCTTTTCATTTCTGCCCCTTCCCGGCCTCAGTCAATTCACTGACACAGGTACCGAAAGCTTAAGGTCAGAACTAAATGTCCACCTAACGATAAAAACAGAGGACACACAGGGAGTAACTACTACTTTGACTGTCCTCTCACTGGTGTATTACTCACCAATGAGACCCCGACCCCAAGAACAGGCCTTTTGCCTAATTTTGTCCTTGGCTACACGCTAAGGAACTGACTTTCATCCATGCTTCTGATGATTCCCTCCAAGTCTTAGACTGACATGCCTTTTTTATTTAGTTCCCGATCCCCTACAACAAATGACTGGCCATGTCCACACCCCCGAAGTTCCTACCACTTACAGGGAAGATGGAAGGAAATAAAAGCTACAAGAAGCACAAGCAGCTGTTTGTTTCCCTTTGTCAGAGACAAAGGTGAGCCAGATATCCCTCTCCAAGGGAAGACCTCCCTTGGAAAATTGTTCAGCACTTCCTGCTTTGTAGGCTGCAGTGCATCACGTAATACGGAGAAGAGAGAGAAGAACACGGTTTTATACAGTTTTGTAGGGTATAAAGCAAACAAACCCCACGCTGCTGATGGAGCACATGAAAACCTTTGCAGCAGAGCTTTTATGAACAAGAATACAAAACGCCACGCTCTTCACATACTGTAGTTTGAAGGTAACAGCTGGACTGAGAAAGACCCGAGCCATGTCCCTGCTTTGCCCTGGCTGAGAGCCGAACTCTTCATTCCACGGGGGACTCAGCAGCCAAGAGAGGCCATCTCCCTTACATGCCTGTTCCATCGCTGCACTCAGCTACGCTTTTGTGGAAGTGAACACCATCTCTCCAAAGGCCAAGATCACTCAAAGGGCAGCAATATACTGCAAGCAAACTGTTTTAAAACAGTTCCAGTTATGACATTCAGTTGTTTTTTTCTTGAACAAACTTTGTAGATCAGTGTCAAAAAATACGTGCACATCAGCTGAGCCTATTCCATGATGAAGGTGAGCCTAAGAGAGGCACTTGTACAGATGTGATCTGAATGCTAGTACAGAAGTACTTACTTGAATATGGCACGGGGTTAAGAGTGATTCTGTTAAAATGAGTAAAATGTGTCCACTGCCTTTTACAAAACGTCCTGTTTTCTCTACTGATTGCATAACTGTTCAAGTTTGGCTAAAGCAGCAACAGAGAGAATGGTGGATATCCAGCAATTCATGGCAAAATGAACACAGAGGATGTTCCCTGGAGATGAAGTGTGTGGGTGTGCGATACTGACAGCTGGGAGAAGCTGGCTTGCTTTTGTCAGGTTTACTCTCTGCTGTCACCCGTTGTTGTCTTCTGCTTTTAAGCACTGTAGCATGCCTGCTGAAGTCCAGCAGTCTTTGAACAAGTGCACAGAGTGCCTCATTTGTGCTGCCATGTCAGTTCCTGTATATTTTTAGATGCAACACAATTGGATAAAGAGCTAAAGCTATCAGGAGATAATAACAAAAGAATAAACAGTTTAATGCCGTTTCTGCATCGGCCCTCACTAAAGAAGTTGACTCAAATGAGGCAAATGTGACCTATGAAATCTAATTTCTCTTTGTCCCAGGCTAACAGGTCTATAGATGAAGACACAACATGTCACGAATCTGGGCTTCACTAGGGTTTTGTCACTGGTTCTCATGTTGTCCTCATCAATGATCCAGATGTAACTGGTCAGAAAACTGCTCACAGAATAGCTGCGAAGAACACGTGCCGAATGGGAGGGATCTATCAGGTGAGATTCTGAAGGGACCAGCCCTGACTCTGGCATTATTCAGTATTCTCACTAATGGTGTGGATGGCAGACCGAAGAGCACAGATCACTCATTTGCAGCGTAAGAGGCCTGGTTTGACATGCAGGAGTCCTGGTTTACAATTCAAAGCCATCTTGAGAAACTGAGAATTGATCTGAAAACGTAACAGGATGTATTTCACCTGAGACATGCACCAAGTTTTACACCTAAGAAAAATCACCAGTACACACACCAAACTGAGACACAACAGGTTATCAGCAGGTCTGTGGGTGAGGATTCGTAGTTGTACTCTTGGCAAAAGGTCAAACCTCATACAAAACTCATTCTGTTATGCATACAGAAGAAATAGTGGTGATTTTTTTCTCCTAGTGCTTACTGTTGAGACAACAGCTGGCATAATTCATTTAACAATATGAATAGTCTGGACACAAAATGCAAGAATCATTTACCTGCTGAAGAGCATCCAGGAGAGAAAAAAAAAAAAAAAAGGGCAAAAAGACATACAGAAAGTACTGTCTTAAAGGACAAATAAAGGGTATTGGAGTTACTTAATCTGGAGCTTAGAAAATAGAAGGGACATGGAATAAGGACCTACAAGTACAAAAAAAGAAAATTAGATATCCAGAAAGGAAAGCTTCCCTTCTAAGGATTGCTTTATGGAAGTGTCAGTAGGTGTGCTTGGTATTTGCTTTTACATCTATTCTCTTCTTAGACAGTTTGGTTACGACTTTTATGCGGATATCTTTCCAATGCTAAATATATTTTTAGACATGTATTAATGTCTAAATAATTGCTGTATTTAAGAAATAAAACAACAAAGTAATGCAGCCTGGATTTTCTCATTCACAGTAATAGACACTGAGCCAACTCTTCATCAGCCCGGAATTGTTGCGCACACAGTAAGCAGCAAAGCTGTACAGAAGTTCTTATTCTCAGACACTTCTGTCTATGTGTGCACAAAACTGTCTGCAGACCTCTGAGAAAAAACACGGGTGGGTGGTTGCCTGGAAGCATTTCTGCTCGTCATCTGGAAGTGTATTATGTATGAGCTAAACCATTTTGTCTCTGCTGCAGCAATATGAACACCTAACCTGTAGCAGTAACTTTAAAATTAAGCTGAGCTGTTCCCTTCACTAATTTAGTAACTCTAAACACTTGAATTTTCTCCTGCCATCAGAATGCACATTGTCTTCTCGGTCTGAAAATTAACTGGGCAACAACTTACTTGACCTTCTCTTCAAGGCAAAATCATACGGTAATAAACCATTAACTACCTCAGTGGAATTGCACTGATGATGATGGCATAAATTTTCTCAAGCAGAATTACTGTGCGATAAGCTTGCAGAGCAACTACACAAATTAGACACAACAACCAGAAGATGATCTAACTTTCAGCTGAGAACAACTGCGTTAGTCCTTGGATCCACAAGCCGTACCTGCTTTTATAGTAGGACCAAGGATTTGGTCCTGAGGATCTTCTTCAGGGATGTAAAACCATCCTACAAGTAATAATCAGCATTGGTATCCCGTTCAATTACTGAGAGATCTGAGAGCACACTGCCCAAGTTAAGCTGCATCCTGTGGTGTGGGACAGTGCCGTAAGCACTGTCATATTCACCCTAAAGATACGGAATTATCTGGGGGAAAGACCAATGAAGGAACATTTCCAAGTTTACCTAGACACCATCTCACCACTATCCTAGACCTCTACAGAGAGGTATATTCTGAAGAAGTTCTAATTAATACTGTATGAATTTTTCCTACGTGAGGAAAATGAGATTTGCTAGTTAAGATGTAGCGTTGGTTCCAAGTAGCATATGCACATCACATCTGCTTTTACATGTGATTTTTTTTTTTATGCTTTGTGAGAACGTGAATGAAAAAAAGGTGCTTTCATAGTCACTGATTCGCTGTTGGAGCAGCGAGAGATGTGACACAGGAGAAAATACACTCTTGACGAAGCAAGAGGAACCAAGAGTGCTGTTATGCAGAACTAGTGTCAAGACAGGTATGCATAAATGAAATTGAATTACTGTAGGGATAATGCCCAAGAGAAGGAATTTAAGGAGGAAAAACAGTTAGTCTGCAATCTTGCCACAACACTTCCGGAATGCAGTCATTCCCTGTGTTACTACCACCAGCAAAAGCCTTAAAATAGCACAAGAAATCTGCTGCAGGGGACAAAACAAGAGACAATCCCTACCTAAACCTTAAATTCTATCTTCCCTATAAAGGTTCTTCATATTGCTGAATAGGTTCTAGGTATAAATCTTCAAATACCAATATCAAATAGCAGTCCAAACAAAGAGGTCTTAAATCACTGGTCACACTTGCTGCAGCAGCAAATAAGTATGTTCCAACATTTGTTTGAAGAAAATGAATGTGAGGTTTCTGTCAACATGCTGATTAACGTTAGAGAGTATGTATCTAACTTAGGCAATGCTATAATTTTCTATTATTCCGGTGGGTAATGTGCCATTTACGACCCTAATACCATATAGTCTGAAAACTAGAAAAGCTGTACCCACGTAAAGATACAGTATCAGTCTTTAAGTAATGACTGCTATCTAGATCCCAAGAGGAACATTTACACTAACTGCATTATTCTGGGGAGAAATGGAAGGAAAAACAGAAAGGTACATCCCATACTGTTAAAATACTGGGGTTTTTTCAGATATATTAACCATAGTGGGTGTCAGGAAGATGGGCTCAGGCTCTTCTCAGTGGTGCCCAGTGACAGGACGAGGGGCAGTGGCCATCAACTGGGAAACAGAAGGTTCAACCTGAGCATGAGGAATCCCTTCTTCACTCTGAGAGTGACAGAGCACTGAACAGGCTGCCCAGGGAGGTGGTGGAGTCTCCTTCCCTAGAGACTTTCCAAAGCCGCCTGGGCTTGCTCCAGTGTGATCTACTCTAGGGGATCCTGCTCTGGCAGGGGGGTTGGACTAGATGGTCTCTAGAGGTCCTTTCCACTGTGTGATAGTTTCTGTCTAAATAACTGTCGCCTTCCGCCTCTCCACCAAATTCACTGCTGGGGCAGATTATGTATTGTGTGTGCAGTACCCAGAGATATCTCTGCACAGCAATAACCCGTCTGATCCCTGACAGACAACCCCCCACCTACAAGTGTCCTCAGCATTTACTCCTTACTTTGTGTAGACATCGGCAAGTGTGTCTTATTTACGGTTTTCTTTTCAAAGAACACTCCCTCTCAGGCAGCATTCTGCGTTACCTGAGAGGTGGAAGACCATGAGTGAACAGGGACCTTTTAAAACAGCAGTGGATCTTCTGTTACTGCATTAGGATAGCCAACATCTACAAACTACTACTACTGTTTTCCCAGTGAGAAAACACCTTCAAGTGCATTCGTTATGAAAACAGGCAAGCACACCGTCCGCACCTGTTTCAAACAAATGCACAGCATCTTCCATGGATAACGTTGTCAAGGAAAACCTTCCATTTCTTAACTACAACAGAAATTTTAGGCTGTAACGTGGGGAAAACGTGCTAACGTTTACAAAGAGTAATTTTAATTGAAAAGGGCAGCAAGTATATTACAATTGCAAATTCTGTTTACTGAGTAATAAGATGGTGTGAGGTGACCTTTCACACAGTTGTTCTATTTCTCACAACGTTTTACGAATCAACTGACAGTTAATATGTAACTGATGAGCACGTATGGAACACAAGTGAACAGCGTTCATTTTAGTCGGTTTTGGTTAGTATTTAGGGTCTTAATAAAGAAAATATGTGTTTGGTGGATAAACACATCTGCTTGCTGAAAAACAAATGTGGACAGAAATGCCATTTTCTTGACACACAATTCTTTTAATACGGAAAAGTTTTGCTTTTTCCCAACTAGTTCTATTATTTATAATTTCCATTACGGGAATAGTACTAGAGCCAATCAAGTGTGAGAAATCTGTTATTGCTCTAGGTATTGACCAAAGAAGCAATACACATTTCTGGCCCCGCAGCTCTTTCCACTTCAGAATGTTGTGAATACAGTTTTGCTGAAACATGATTTAAAATGGAAACATAAACAAGATTAATGTCTGCTAAAAACATCAATTTTGTAGTAAGAAACTTTTTGCTATCTCAAAAATGTTTTCAGGCTCTTAAAAATCTTTGAATGTAAACCAAAACCAATAACCAGTAACGTAGTGAAGTCCTCAGGTTAAATGATGGCGGCACAGGGAAGCCACACCCAGAACTTCCCGTAATGCAGAAATTGTCAATTATTGTATTAGGTTTTCCATAGCTCCTCACATATTCACTAGTGAAGCACTAGAACACGGAATAGGTTCACACATGAACACAGCAGGGAAAGCCTAACTCCCCCACTGCAGTGGCTAAGACTCCACATATATTCCCCTTTCTCTTCTGTGCCCCTGAGCTTTCTCACACGTAGAGGTTGGTTTTGGTTTATACACATCACAGGCTTCAGTAAGGCCCAGATATAAAAAAATCCGTATTAACCTAGCTTCTATTACACCAAGCCACATTTATGAAAATGTAACTTGCAGGAAGTTCGTTCTGTAAGTATTTTCTGTCTAATTTACATCGACCACTGGACCAGGCTCCCCAGGGAGTGGCCATGGCATCAAGCCCCTCAGAGCTCAAGGAGTGTCTGGACAAGGCTCTTAGTCACATGGTCTAGTGTTAGGTAGTCCTGCAAGGAACATGGAGTTGGACTCGATGGTCCTGATGGGTCCCTTCCAACTGGAGCTATTCTGTAATTCCAAATTTTCACCAAGAATTTGCAACTTAATTACACTGTCTTTTCCTCTCTCAGGTCATAGCTTTATGCCCTCTGCACTTTTCAGTAATCTGTTAAGAGTTGAACTAGATTTAACGATTCACTGCGTAACTTTGAGTGGCTTCATAGGAACAGTAATACAGTAGCATTTTCCCCCTCATCAAATGCTTTATAAATAAACTGCTGTAATACATACCCTGTCAGTTTTCCCTTCAATCTGAATACTTGTACGACTACGTGCATCATGGTCGTCTTCAAGGTCAGATACATCTTCTAGCTCCTCAGGGGTCTGGGGAAAAAGATGTAGAAATGGGTTATGCTCCTTTATGGTTAGAAACTTTGGTATTAATGTCAAACGTGTATTATAATTTGGTCCAAGATAACGTCTGACAAAGTCTGCACAAGTTCCTGCACTACAGGAAAAATAAAGTGGCCCTCATTTGTTATTTGTACACATGGCATTATTTCCTATGCCACTGTCCGTTCTAGTCACCTCAACTGCCATTTAAGCAACACCAGTTCATTTCATGAAATACACATCTGCATTGTGGTGATTTGCTATTCTTTTCTACTGCTGTGATTTTTTCTGAGGGCTGTCTGGGTTTGGCATGTAGGTGGATAGGAAGAAGTAGTTCTTACGGGTATCAATTAACGATATCACGCCATCTCCTCAGCAAAGGAAAGTTAATCACAACAGCATTAGGTAAATACATTTACACTTTATTCAGCACAAGCCTTTCACAACTTTTAAATGGCAAAAAGTGTAAAATCTATTTTTAGCCTTTTCTCTTAACATGCTCTCCGAATCATCCTCTCCTCTTTTCCTCTTTTTTTAACTGTTTTTTGGTCATAAACTGCAATTCATGAGTGATTTCGGCCAGTCTATAACCTACTGTGTATCTTGTATGCACTGTAACGTGCCCACAACTAAAACCATCTGTTTTGGTAACCTAGGTTTTGGGTACTAATTTCTTCAGGCATACCTGATCAAGTCCATGAAAAAACACTGCTTAACTTACAACAAGAGCAATTTACCATACAATCCAGGTCTTTGTGTTTATTTCCTTCTTCCCACTTACCAACATATAACAAAAATAAAACAGCCTTCATGGCAGAGTTCTGAATTTTACCGTAAGTAACTTGGTAAAAAAAAAAAAGCATAGCTATAGAAAGGGCACTGAAACATTAAAAGCAAGTTTGCTCATATTAACAAAACACTGCCCAATGCAGCACAGATCGTTTTCAGAATTATGAACTATTTAAAAATTAATACTGGTTCTGCCAATGCAATAGGGCACTCAAAATTTTTCCTTTCTCAAGTAGATTCACATTTTAAAGAACCAAAAATATACAGAACCAGACTTTATACGTAACTGGCAACAGACCTACTACTGAATGATCTGCTACCGGCCTGACATCTAGAGTTCTAATTAGAGGGAAATCCTGACATTCTTAGTATCCCACAAGCCTGACGTGCCAGAAGAAACTTGACAAGAGAGGGACTATCAGAGAACCCTACCAAAAGACAGGCACAAAAAATCCTGGTCATTTCTTTTGCCCAATTTTCAATCGTGTCAAATGTAATTTTAGAATTCAGAATTAATGTATTTTCTCACCTTCTTATTTATACTGTCAAGCCAAATACAGACAATATCTGTTCAGAGGGACATTGTAGGGGTCTGTTACTTCTGGGTTAGTAGCATGGTAAGGGCAGTACATTAAACTGAATAGATCCACCTGTATACATTCGTATCATTTGGGAAAGCACCTCCGTGGCCAGAGAGTGGTATAGAAACCACAAGACTTCAATGTCAGCCTTGAAACAAGGTTTAACTAGCAGTTGATTACTTTAAGAGCACACAATTTCACTCACTGAACAAAATAACAATTTCTATGAGATAACACTGTAAGAAATAAAGAACTCCAGGCTGGAGCACAAACCAGCAGAAATATAATGCTGGTGGTGAAAAACGCGCCTAGGTTTCCTCAGGAAAACAGACAGGCAATCAGTTTTATGGGCAAAGATGAGCATAATTCTACACTGGTAAAGCAGGGAAAAGGAACATTTTGTTTTCAGGCAAATACTAACGTCATGATGAAGTCTTTTAGTTTTAGTCCTGGAATTAGATGTAGTAAGACTTCCACAGTACCCAAAAGCTGTTACCATGCGAAAGCTGTTTGAAAACCTGCAGTGTGGAAGGAAAATTAAATTTTGTTGTGGGTGGATTGCCATGAAATAAAGAAAAAGATCGCAAACTCCCTTTAATTGAAACACTTACAGAGACCCTTATTAGAGGACCAGTAACAGACAGACAATTAAAACAGAGCAACTTCAACTTCTCAGGATCACACTGACCAGGGCCCCCAGACAGGTTATTGCCTGGGTTCAGCGAGAGATTTATAGAGAAAAAAAAAAACCACTTTCTTTCTGGCACTACACGATACTTGGTTACTCCATACAAAAATATATTGCAATTGTTAGGTTTTTCTAAACATTAGTTACAATTTGGTTTTTTCCCAGTGTTCATGAATCATGTTGGATTCACAGTAGCAGGGCACCATTCCTTCCTGGGCAAACATATGCTTGGGAATGTTTAACAATCCCCTATGTTCCACCACAAGTATTCCCTTCCACATTTTAATGCCTGTAGTAAATCTGCATTCTTGATGGTTTTGCTACTGAAAACTCAGGCTGAGGACTCAAAATCCTATTTATAGCCAAGTCCAGTACAGATGAAGTTTACCCCTTCCTAGCATTCAACTTCAAGCCGCAGTAGCAAGTCATTACTGTTGCACGTGGGCAATTTCAGGCTATGAATTTCCTTTCACCTATGAAATGAAAAACACTCTCTGATGACTAACCTTTTAATTCGCTTTTCCACTAGGATTTTAAAGAGAATAATTAATAAAACAAATTAATAGAACTACAGTCTTTCCAAACTGGGTGCAAATGTGCTCTTTGGCTTATCTGCTTTTTAATCTAAGCTTTGTAGAACAAAGTGTTTTACTAGGTTTCACAGCATTTTCTCCAACACTGTTTTTTTTTATGCAAACCCTCCTCAAAAGTGATTATCCAAACAACTTTATCTAGATCATTCATTTTTTAAAGGTCACATACACCCATAAAACCATCCATCCTGCAAATAAAGGGTCTCATCTGTTTAAAAAAACAATGCAGAGCCAAGTCTGAAGTCTCAAGATATACAGTGTAAATGGACGAAGAGGCATCATGATGTGAAAGAAGGAAGCTATCTCCTGATATCTAACATTCCATTAAATGTTGACCTTTAGACTGTCATTATATGCTCTTATGCTCCATCTTACCTTGGTTTCAACATCCCCTGTTAGTCATTCTTTTTCCCAAATGAATATGAAATAGCAGTGCAGACTAACACCTTCACTGGAGCTAAGTTGATGAGTGATGTCTTAATTTGATACCACAGCAAATACAGTTATTTGTGGTATATATGTATCACAGCAGCCACAGAAATGCTCATATGCACTCTAGGGGGAGCAGAATTTGTGTATTATAGTCTTCACTGAGAAGAGAATGGGTTTAAAGAGATTATCTGTTCTATTCTGGACCTTTGATTAATGCCTGTATTTCAAAAATTTCATCATGGCAAGCAGCATGTCATTCAGTGTAGCAAACTAAATGTAAATGTGTCACAAATAGGCCCTCTGCATCTATTTAGCTAGTTTCTGGTATTTTTGCATATTGGTCACAATACCACCGTTATCCCACACTTAATTCTGCCAGATGACAGACTGCCAGAGTTGTGATGCACTAAAGGGAGAACAAGAAATTGCAAGCTTTATTTGTTATTCCTGACTCATTTAGTAAGAACCTCATATAATTGTTGCTATCTATTCACTAGGAGCACTTCAGGTTTTTTGCTAAAAGCAACTGGGTGTTATTCTGAAAACACTGAAGCCCCACATTGTAAAGGGCAAATTAAAGAGTTGCCTGAAAATCACACCAGTAATGGTACTGTAACCATAAGGGTCAAAAGATACAAGGAAGATGAGATTTATAGACAACGTAGTGCTTTTTATAAAAGGAAACCACGTGCTGTAACCGGAGTCCCCATCTTCCCCCCATGAAAACCATGACAACTGATACACAGCTCCACCCAAAGTGTATCCTTTGCTTACGCTTACTGAGTAGGAAACTTCACCACAGGGCTTAGAAACTTCCATTTAATATCAGAAAAATAATAATTAATAGAAACAGAATAGTAGTTTTTAATACACGTGATGTGTTGTTCCGCTGATGTAAAATGTATTCCCCTTTTTCTCTGCTGGGCTGACATAAGTTTGCTCCATCTAGTGGGAAGCTCATTAAGACATTGCATTTCTAATGGGAATACTTTTTAAGCTGTGTGAGGAAAGTGAAAAGCCAAGTAAGCTGTTGTTCTCACTTCTGCCAGCAGTCTCTATAAAGTAAGTTATAGATGGCCTTTCACTTCTGTCGCTGTGGTTGAAATAGATGGCTTTACTTCTAGACACATTCCTTCAAGGCTGACTGTCCCACAAAATGCAGGTTAGAAAACTGGAACTGCTTTTGGACAACATCAGTGTTAAAGGTCAAAAAGGTGCAGTGAATACCCTGAAGTCTTAAAAAAGTTGTATCAGTGCTCATAAAGGACAGAAGGTAAAAAAGACAGCTGAGATTTCCATAAGAAGTGTGGGTTTATCAGATTAACAGAGCCTGAGCAACGGTAGCCCCTGCCATCAGATTTTTTTCTTTAACATGCCAAATCCACATATTTCTGTTAAATGAGTTATGCTAACTGATCATACCTTTAAAAATAAATAATTTTTTAAAATCCACTGAATAGATGAATACATCCCTTAGCAAGATTGCCAGTAGGTCCATTTCTCAAACTGGAGTACATGAAATGATTCTCTACAACCTCAAGACTTGCTCAAGTCTCTTCAGTCTCAACTGACCCTCTCTACTGTATGACCTTCTAGTAAAACATATTATCTTGGAAAAAGATACACACCTGTCAATCAATCTTGTGCATAACTGTAAGAATACAGAATCTAATTTACTGAAGGAACAGGTACCACTACCATCATCCCTCTCACGCATTCCCACGTATGCCTTAGCCCTGAAATTTAAACTTTTCAGTTTCAGTGTCAGGGAGGAACATGTGCTAAGACAGTGAAAATAAAACCACCCCAGCTGTGAATCCTATATCCATTACTTTCATCCTGCTTTTAATCATCAAGAGGCTTCTGATGCCCAGAACATGCATCCACCCACACTTAAGTCATTCAGTA